CCCCAAAACCCCAAAACCCCAAAACCCCAAAACCCCGATGTGATGTAATTAGCCTTAAAAGCATATTAAGAATTTTAAAATAATACTTCTTTTTCAATGTCAAAAGAAATTTAAGATCAGAATTAATTTCATCCACATAACTTTGAAAAGGAAAAAAAGAGTAATTCTCACCTTTACAAATCAATATGCCCTTTCCATAACATCCCTCAACTATTCATTGATTAGAAAACCTCAGAGCTTTTGTGTATACAATGCAAGGATCAAAGACTACATATGGGCATCTGTTCATTTATACCAATTAATCAAAACTTAGATAATAACATAGAAAAGTGGTCAGTATTAGAGAAAGATATCAATGAATTAGAAGATAAAATATTCAAGTAGGTTGAATTTTTAGACTCACTCTAAAACAATCAAGATTATAAACACTTTAAGAAGTAGTAAGTTAGGGAATACAAAGAATCCTAAAAAATTAAGTTTATCAAAGGCCTAGAGCATATTTATAAAACTAGGAAATCAATTGGCTTATTTAGCATAGATGACGACACTAATGATGAGGCACATAACTTTAAAATGGATTTGAATTTACTGAAGAGAGACTATGTAGAAAATTTGAAACAAAGATATGATTAATGTCTTAGTTAACTGAACTAGCTAAAAAGAGTTCTAGATAAAGATATTTTAGAGCTTATGAAATTCTAGAAGAAGAAAAATCTTTTGAAAATGGTCGAGTTTAATCAGTATTACGAGGTAAATGCTGATGAAAGGAATTATATATAAAAATAGATCAGGGGTTTAGACCATGAAGTCAATCAGTTTAGGCAGATGCTGAATTAAAAGCCTAAAATTTAGGTGTCATAGATAGCTGAATATGCTCGAATAAGTATAAACTCAAATGATAAATGGCATAAAGAATAGCAGGTAATCAACTCCTATTTGGCAGAACATAAGAACAAAGACTATATTCTAGACTTGTTTAAAAAGTAAAACCAAATCTTGAAACTTATTGCAGAGCAAGAAATGAAATTTAGATAAAACTTTTCAAGTGTGGAAGATTAGAGGCAGCAAATATTGAGTGCTGTCAAAACTCACTCATAATTGAAGTAGCACTCAGATAGTAATTAATCACAACTAAACCCGGATTCTAAATCTACAACTACTAACAGCACTGGCTCAAATACTAGTACTAATGCTCAAGTAATTCCAATAATAAGGACTAATTTAAGCAGAAATACTGATAGATAATAATCATAGTATAATGAATTTACATTTGATGGAAATCGAAGAGGCTATGGCTCAAATTATCACTATAACACATCTTTTAATGAAAATTCAAGCAGTCATCATACAAACTAATATAGGAATTCAGGGAATTACAATAACTCAAGGATAGTAAAGCCATTAGGACGAGGATAAGGCTTCAATTAATATAGGTATCGATAACAAAACGTTACTAGTAGCTTTTAAAAGCATGAAAATAGCTATTATCAATAAAGATAAGCCTAGAATTATGATAGCTCTAATCAGATAGTAGTTAATCAAAGCTAATCATAATCTAATCTTAGCAAGGGGAATAATTATGAAAGACCTTACAATAATGTACCATAATCTTACAGATATTAACCTAATCATAGATCTAATGATTAGAATTAATCTTACAGTTATAAGAGGAAGCAGTAATAAAATTTTAGCAATTCTTTGATACATAGTTAGAGGAATGGGATAGACTAGCACTGTAATACTAGTCAGATATTCAATGAAAATAGCAATGCATCCATATAATCATTGCTCAATCAATTAGATATCAATTTATCAGTTCAAGGTGACGAATCTAATACTTAAAAACGTAGATGAATTAACTTGGGCTTTTGAATGATTGTGGCAGTATATTTATCTAATGAGAATTATTGTATTTTAAATTATTTTCAAATAAGCTAATAAATATTATAGTTTCTTAAATAATCTTGAATCTCGGGGTTTTGGGGTTTTGGGGTTTTGGGG